GTGCCGAGGGCGATTGAGGTGCTCACCGAGCAGACAGCTTCAGGCTCAGGCTCAGGCCAGCTGGAGCTGGTGCTGCTGCTCGCTCAGCTGCAGATCAAGGCGGAGAACTTCGGCGGGGCGGCGAAAACGCTGACAGAAAAGCTGGCCCCCGAGGCGCTGTACCTGCCTGCGGTGGCGGAGGACCTCGCCCGCACCTGCCACTACATGTACAACCTGACGGAGACCGGTCTCTCCCCGGAGATCGCCTACTACGGCACGCTGCCCGACGAGAAGGAGTTCACCGTTCGGCCGGCGGACACGCACAATCTCTTCAGGCCGGAGTTCGTCGAGTCGCTCTTCTTCCTCTACCACTACATTGGTAATGTTGGCTGTGTGTTTTGGTTCTCAAGTCTCTTGAACTAAGGCTTTTTTAGCAGCTTTACACCTGCCACGTTCCCGGAACACCCCTCCCGAACCAACTGACAATGTCTGTCAACGAGCTTGCCTGCGTCCACGACCGCTCCATTGTTGACTTGCTGAATGCAAAGCTCTAAACCATTCAAGTAAGTTCGAATTTGAGTTTTTGAAGACTATATAACATTGACGTTTGTATTACGTTTTCTTCATTTTTGTAGAGTATCACCGTCACCACTACTACCACCACTACTACTGCTGATGCCACCAAAGGCAGCGCCGAAGGCTGCTGACAAGGCGAAAGCACCGGCGAAGGCAGCTCCAGCAAAGGCGGCCCCAGCGGCTAAGGCGGCTCCAGCGAAAGATGCAAAAGCAAAAGCGGATCCCAAGGCGGCCGCCAAGGACCTCAAGGCAAAGGACGCAAAGGGAGGCGCAAAAGCGGCGGCAGCACCTGCTGCCGGCAAGGCCGACCCTGGGAAGGCCTTTCCGCTGGAGAAGGGCCCCACGCCCAGCAAGATGGAACCGACGGACATTACTCGGCTGTACAAGCTGCCTGACGGCGACATGAAAACGGAGGAAGACGTCATCACCAAGCAAGGCTACGCCATCGAGCAGAAGGTGAGCGAAATGGCATTTGGCAACAAATGAAACTGAATTTACCAAACTGACCAAATTTACTTTTTCGCAGCTCGGCCAAGGCGGCTTTGGCACCGTCTTTATGGCGCGAGACAAGAAGAAGAACATGAAGGTCGCCTGTAAGCTCTGCGAGCTGGGCAAGGAGTGGAGCGACGCTCGGGTGAAGGACATGAAAAATGTAAAGTGAACACCAAAGTGATCATTTGAAGGCTAACAAGTGCTTTCTCTATTGCACAGGAGCTGTTCATCCACGAGAAGATCAAGCACCTGTACGTGGTGAAGCTGTACCTGCACTTCCTGACGCAGTCAAGCAACGGCAACCGCCTCTACCTCTTCATGGAGCTGGCCGACGGCGGCGACTTCAGCAAGTTCTGCGCCAAGAAGGGCATGATTCCGGAGAAGGAGGCGAAGCTCTACTACGCACAGATTGCCTGCGGCGTCAATCACATGCACTCGCTGGGCATCGCCCACCGGGACATCAAACTGTGAGTGCACAACTTTAACTGGGAGATCTTGCAATGACACTAATATTACTCTGGTTTACTGCAGCCAAAACGTCCTGCTGGCGAAGTGCACCACCTCAATCAGCGGCGACTTCACCTGTCTCCTCGCCGACTTTGGCCTCAGCCGACTGCTGCATCACGAAGGGGCGGCGGTAGCGCTGCAGAAGACAGTCTGCGGAACGCCCCTCTTTATGAGTCCCGAGCTTCAACAAAAGAAGGTAACTAACTGACACAGAGATGATTACTTGGTAAACTAAACACTACTATTCCCTGCAGCCCTACAACGGCTTTGAGGCAGACGTCTGGGCGCTGGGCATCACCATCTACATCATGATGACGACTGAGGTGCCCTTCGACTTCAAGAACATGGCCGCCGCGAAGCAGGCAATGCTCGACCAGAAGTGGTCCTGGCCTGAGGACAAAATGAAGGAGAAACCGAGCGCCGACTTGAAGGAGCTGTTGACGCTGATGCTGCAGCCGGTGCCGGAGAAGCGCATCAAGATGCCGGAGATGCTGGCGCACAAGTGGGTCGACGAGGCCTTTAAGAAAGCTCAAGACGCTGCGAACAAGGCCAAATAGTGTAATTGGCCAGTTTGGAGGTGATGAGGTGATCTTTTGCTCCTCTACTTTGGTGATGCTCATTAGAATCTCTAGACTGAATCCACTATTTTAACCTGCCTCTCTTTCTCTCTTTGCTATTGCCACACTATCATCACCACACATCCTCCTTCTCAATTTCCTCAAACGAGTCAGCAAGCGAAATCTCTTCTTGTTTGAAAATTTTCCAATCCTAGCAAACTATCATGGTCAAGCTGCCTCCGCCGAGCCCTGAGCCAATGCTCGAGGAGGAAGAAGATCGAAGAGAGGTGGCCCGACCTCCAGCCAATCCGCACCCGCAACAGGTCGCCGGTCAGCCGAACGCGCCAGCCGAAGGAGAAGGAGAAGAAGTAGTTGATCTTGGGTAAGTCATATTTGAACTTAATTTGAAAAGTTGCTTTTGTAATTCACATTGGAAACCTTTAGTCTATATTGCTAAAGTTTAATTTTGTCTAATTTTGGCATTTAATTTTTTTAATAGGTTCGTAGGACGCATCTTAGGAGGACATCTAGAACCCAACGCTGGTGGCCATGGTGATGGTCCAGCTCCGGTGCCCGAAGGTGGCCCTCAAGGCGGCGCCGGACAGCCCCTCAATGGGCGAGGTGGAGGAGACGCTCTCCGAGCAAATGGGCAAGGAGGCCGTCGAGGCCAAGGGGGAGACGCTGCCCGGGCGAATGGTCGTGGAGGCCGTCGAGGCCGAGGGGGAGACGCTGGCCGGGCGAATGGTCGTGGAGGCCGTCGAGGCCGAGGTGGCCGATGACCAACCTAAGTGTCACTAATATTCCATCGCCGTTTCACACATGAAATAAAACTTTTGTAGTGGCAGAGACCTTTACTGATGAGGACGATCTAGATGGGCGAATACATAAGTATGAGATGAGGGGAAACAAGTGAGACTACATTTTTAGCGAGACTTTTTTTTAGCGAGACTTTTTTGAAAAAAATCTCGCTTTTAATCTCGCTCTGTGTCCGTCTGTCTGTCTGGACGTGTGTGTCGAAAAACCTCTTCCCAGTCACCGATTTTGCTCAAACTTGGCACAAAAATCACATTAATTCAAACAAAAATTCAGGCGAAAGAATTAGAGTCNTTAGAGTCATACGACCAACGGTGCCCGAGATCCAGGAACCCGAAAAAATGCATCTACAACAGTAGGGAGAACCGAAGCACTGTTCAATGCTACAGAGAGAGGAGCATGGCAGACAGTAGCAGTGTGTTGTGCTCTGAAGTGTGACTCGCACTGTGTGAACTGCACAATGCATCTGCAGCACAGTGCAGAGGCTCTGGAGGCTCACTGATCAGATCAGAGAGGCAACTCTCCGAATTCCTTCTGTCTCGTGGTGCTCTATACCGGCAACCAGAACTTCGTCCACCAGATCGTGGTCTTCTCCACTAGGTCCTTTGGGAACAGCAGCAAACAACCACC